TCTTCAAATGATTCTTCAATCGGTGAACTCCAACGTCTGGGGTTGTTACACATAGACGTTCTTAACGTTTTCCAGCCGTATTTTCGACTCTAAAAAAACCCGTGCGTCCGCTTTTCCACGCAATACTCGGAGAGGCAATCATGGCAACTTACGAAGGCAGCTCGGCGAATGACGATGCCGAAATATATGCTTAGACCAAAAAACGCAGTCTGAGTTGTGACATTAAGCAATGAAAAACGTCACCCTTGCATTGCTTAATGTCACAACTCAGATTGCGTTTTTCGCTCTAAACGTAAGTTTCGCTATCGTCATTCGCCGAGCTTCCTTCGTAAGTTGCCGTGATTGGCTCTCCGAGTGTTGTGCGGGAAAGCGGATGCACGGGCTTTTTTAGAGTGTATTCCGTTTGCCATTTTTTCACACGCCCCTTCTCCTCCAATCAAAAGAGCATGAGAGCCCGCTGCGGACAGACTTGGCATTATAGTGTGTTGTATATCCCCCGATGATCGCGCCCTCCGATTTTCCTTCACTTGGCTGTCCTTAGAAAACGTATGCACGCCTACACTTCGTCTCAACCTAGCATGCACTAAAGCCAAGGCTAGAGCACGAGCTCATAGCATCTCTAGATGGTTCCACTGCACGAACGCTCGTGCAGCTTGAATATCTAGCAAAGCTGTGAGCCCGTACCGCCTCGCGCGTCTAGCCTTCGCTTTAATATATCTCGGGACAAGACGGATTATATTATAATAGAACCGATGTGGTTTCATAATTTTGAACAGAAGTGTGTGTGTAACAGATGCTATTTTTGTGGTCGCCTCCAGGTGAAAAACCGAGAAGTGCACACAACGTACACATCCATCTGGCTAGAGAACAACTTGAGCGTTGGGTTGAGTTAAATTTCAGCTGCCCATTGTGTTAACTTCAATTTCACGAAATCCGCCAAATTAACTGGACAGAATCTTGACTACTGCTGTCAAAGGGTATAACTGCGATTTGGCGGTTTTCCGATTTTGATGACTTCAAAATCATAGGTGTACCACCGCAACACTCTTCTAACACGATTTCGGTACCCACAGGGTGTAAAAAGGATGTTCGAACGGTGTAGGCCTTACCGTACAGCGTTGAATGTTCAAAAATCATGTAAAAATGGTGTAGGAAAAGTGTGAGCTCGGAAAAACGAGCCTAACACGAACATGGGTGTTGAAATTTTACTGTGCAGTTGCACACTGTGATTCTCTAGTCAGTGTCACGAACAACTGGAACCTGATTCGAGGTCTCCGACAAAGTCGTTCGAGCACGAGACGCGGCCAAGATTACAAAATAGCGCCCCAGCCGTTGACAGCAACACTTCGGGGCCCCGAGTGCCCGCGTAGATTTGTGTGTCTGGATGACCCTGTCCCCGGGTGAAAGGCAAGACCAGCGGGCAATGACCCGCCGTGGGGGGTATACAACTTCGATCATGGAAGAAGCAACAAGATAAGGCACGTACAAGCGCTCAAACAAAACGAATGGCCGCGCATCAGCGCAGCATACCGATAAACTAAAACGAAACGCCGTCACTGCGGCGCTCGAAAATTGCGACTACCTTTACAGGGGGCTTTAAGGTGAACAGCCGGTAGTGGGCCCGGTTTCCCGTGCTTTTCTATTAGAATCATGTTCGTTTTTAAAGTCGTTTCTGGCTCCGCCAAGTTATTTTGAACGCGGCACCTGCACTTCGCTTTTTTCTATACCCCTGTCAGACGGGCTAGTTTAGTGTCACTACAAGCGAATGCACTTCAACCCGTCGAAACACACTCCATGTGTGTTGGTGCTACACGGGAAAACTTAGTGTCACTCTAAAATGATGGCAATGACGATGGGTAAGAAATGGGCACGCAATATTTTACAGTGCATACGCATTTCTTCATAAATAACTTCGTCGTCTTATTAGAAACACGTTACCACACATTGTTGCGCTAAGTCACGAGTTTGCATCCAAATTTAAATCCAATTTGATCATTACGATCAGCCATTTCAAGCCAGTGATACATGTCCGCACGCCAGTACGATACTCTGTTTCACCTTATGATGTACCGCAGAAAAGGCTGCTAGCGCGAGCTCCTTGCTCTAGGGCACATCAAGGCGGCACAAGCTCTCGTGCGTTAAGAGTAGCTCCCAACGCTATGAGCTCGTGCCTTGTCTGCGGTACAACATAAGGTGAAACGGAGTATTAGCGGCGAGATGTTTTGGTGGCGCCCTCCTATGGTTCCCCCTTGTGACGTCATTACCTTGCGAACAACAAGTTCGATGGTGTTTGTAAATAGCATGGTGGAAGTCTGAAATCATTGCGCTCTCAAAGCAACACTGACAACACCGTCGAAATTAAAGTTCTTTCATTCCTCTTATTTCCGTCGATTGTATACCCTTTCCGACGTCATAGTCAGCTTTTGGGCCAATCGTGGAAGGCCGACCACAGCGACGCTTTCGGTCGCGCACGGGGCTAATAGATCGAAACGAGCAGAAGTAGGGATTGAACCCAGGATTCCTGGGTTCTGCAGCGCGAGCTTTCGCTCCGCGTGCTCCGAGCTGGTGTGCGCGAGCCCACTCGGCCACTCGCCACTCGCCACAATGAAACGTCATGGAGTATGTGGAGGACGAGCTGGAGGGCGATATCCGCTATGTTGGGCACTGGAAGCGCGTGGTTGGGCCACTTTTCTCCGTGAGTGCCCAACGCCTCTCAGATAAGAGGCAGCTGGACCTGGATGCCGACGCACAGGCAAGAATTTCAAGTGACATCGATCAGCAGCTGCAGGCCAATGCCTTCACCATAGCCGCTCTCATGACCGACAACCTACCCGTGATTAGTCGAGAACGGTGAACTTCCCAGAGGAACGATCGGTGCTTCGAAGACACCTTGCCCCATTTGGGCGAGTTCTATTTCAAGCAAGCCTTTCGCGTCTCTCCTGCCACCTTCAGATTCCTGGTGGAGTCTTGCAGGTGCCTCCTGGCCGTCGCTGGCCGCCGCACAGGTGCCAAGGCTGAAAACTAGATTAGCCGCTTGTTTTTCTACAATGCTCTACTTTCCTGCCAACGGGAAACAAGTGCGCATCTAATATTACTTCCAACAAAATAATACTAATTTTACCGCAGCGTTAATTTCTTCTATTATTTTGGCTCTTTGAACACTGCTATCGAAATTACACGTTTGGTCTACCGGAGCGAGCGTAGTGTGCTCCCCGAACTCACTTCATTGGAAGTGTGTTCTTCAAGCAGGGCTGGGGATTGAGCTCAGGATCACTGGGTTCTCCTTCTCCAGCGCGAGCTTTCTCTCCACGTACTTTGATCAGGTGGGCGCTAGCCCACTCGGCCACCGATACCCCTTAATAAAAACACGTTAAAAAATTTGACCTTTACAATTCTCTGTAATGCCGAATTGGAGCGCAGCTCTTGAGGAGGGAGGAAGGGTACGAAGGGGAGGGTATACCAGCTGCTCCCCCTCCGTACCCTCCCATCCTCCTCTCCTGTTCCCATCCCACTTAGCATAAAAATTTCGCTAAATTTTCCGCGAAATTCAGCTGGGAAAATTTCCCGCTGAATTGACGTGTCACGTCACATGACACGTCATCTGAAATTTTAAGTGTGATGTCATGTGACGTCACACGGGTAAAATTTTTCCTTTAAATTTAGCGAAAAAATTTTCCGCCAAACTAACAAAAACTTTTACCGCAAAATTTAGCGGGAAAATTTTACCCTCGTGACGTCACACGTAACGTCGCGAGTGATGTAATTTTGGGAACAGCGCTTAATGCAACGCACGGTTACGCCGACGCCGCTCAACCCAGAAACGGGTGCCTAGGAGCTGTGCTCTAAAACAACGTTACATTAATGAACAATTTTTATGCCAATTGGATGATTCTGATCGATCATCGCAAGTCAAGATAAAGAACGAAGCATATCCAACTTTGGCGTTCCGCTTCGTTCCACGGAAGTCTATGAGGAGGCCCTGACACTGCCTAATCAAATAATAATTATCGTGTTGTCTCGAATAGTTACATGCTGAAACAAAAGTAGGTTCTATCATTCTCTGCTAACCAAGATAGCCATAAATGACTGTCTTTGTCGTCGTCTTTTATCGATTCAGCGCTCCGCTAATCTTGATTCAGATCAGCCTAAACTCCAAGTCCACCCCACTATTTTCTTTTTTTTTTCTTTTTGCAATGCCATTTTTTTACATGTCGTCTCTTTCACGAATTTCTTTTTCTTTATAAAATAAAACTTCCGCCACGCTTTTGGTTTCTGTGTTGTTATGTTTTACTGTGGAAACACTCCTATTGGCCACGCACGCGATCGAGCGAAGTGAGTTCGTCAAACTCACTCCAAGCCAAGCGTCTTCCTCTGGAAGGAGTCGTGTGGCACACTACAGAAACGACACTAAGGGCGAAGTGCACTCGCTTGTGGTGACACTAAACTAGCCCGTCTGACAGGGGTATTAGGCACTGCTTCTTAATTGACCCTAGTTTCGTGACTAAACAACGACAATAACATCTCTATGAAGGCGCTGAAGCGGAGAGATCCTCCGCGCTGTGTTCAAGCTGCAGCTTCCATGAAGGTCCGAGCAGACTCCCCGAAACAAGCAGAGCGGAAAGAACGCGGGCCCAAGCGCCTTGCGAACGAAACACTTCTTTTTTTTGGGTGCACTGGTTGGACGGCGGAGACGCTGTCGGCTGAGGATACTCGGGCGTGCAGGGAGATAACTTTATCTAGTCGATCGCAGCGCAGCTTTCGCCGTGTTGTGTGTCCTCACCTATATACACATAGCTTTGACCGTGGTCCTTCCCCACACTCAATAATTTGCGAAGTGGAACAGATATCTCAGTTCGATTGTATACATGTTTGAGTAGTGTGTTTGATTATACAAAGTCAACGTGTTGGAAAAGGAATCAGTATTTCCAGCATGCCATTTTATATCAAGAAGATCGCAACGCAGAGATTTTCTGTAATCTTCACGTGCAACTTTAGGCAGCTTATTGTTGGGTCCTACATTCAGGACTGTAAACTTCAACCTTGTCTCCTGGGCAATATTCCTTAAACTTTTCTTTGCAAGGACTTGGCGGTTTCGCGTCTGCAGCATCTTGAAACAGTAGCAGGTCACAGAAGAGTCCTGAAAATATTATTTGAAGGTTAGCTGCTCATCTTTCTTGCAATGTTGGTTTTTATTCTTTTTCAGGAGTGCATATTGTGTCAAGAAACCAGCCGACTAAATACTGAAAGTACAAATATAAAAAAAGAAAAGTGTCCCTGTGAAATGTTTTCAAGCTTTGGTGGAAACGCTTGCATTCTTCTGTTAAGAAATAAGGAAAATCATGATAGTACGTATAGCTTTGGTATGTAAAGATATATATCAGAATCTAAAAACTGGCAATAAACGCAAACAGTTTTTTGTGGTAATTTATTTTTATTACGAATAACATTCCGCTGTTCTGTGCACAAGAGTATTTACCTGAATTAGAAGTGGAGCTAAATCATTGTCAAATACGTTATATTGCTAAAAGTCTATGGGAGTTCCCACCATTTATCCATTTATTGAGAAAATTTCGCGACGCCCTTAATTATCCCGTGGTCTTACAGTAGAGTGCCACCGTTGGTGATACATGCCATGTAGCATACATATAACAAAACAAAAGCATACAGGTTATGTAGGATACAGAAACTTTTTACTCGTATTTTATCAATAATGGCAATATAGTATATCCATGCATTTAGAATACTATGGCAAAAGCTATGGACAAACTAGGGTTGGGTGATTATTTGAGTATCGAAGTCTAACCATCTAATGACTGTGCGAATAATTTGATTCAATCTTCAAATTCCTAGAAATTAGGTTTTCGGATATTTCGATACACCAACGCCGCAGGCCACAGGTAATGATTGTCCGAACCGCAACCCCGCAGGAAATGATTGTCCGAATGATTTGATTCAATCTTCAAATTCCTAGAATTTGGTTTTTCGGGTATTTCAATACACCAACACCGCAGGCCGCAGGTAATGATTGTCTGAACCGCAACACCGCAGGTAATTATTGTCCGAATGATTTGATTCAATCTTCAAATTCCTAGAATTTAGGTTTTTCGGATATTTCGATGCACCAATACCGGAGGCAGAAACCTGGGTTCATTTAAAAACGCTGTTCAAACGGTAAAATAGTCCTTACAGACCTGTTTTGTGTCGTTTTTTAAATCAATAGTTTCAGCATACCATTTCGACAGAAAGTGTTTTGTTTATTGTGTTACTTGAAAAAAGCAGTCATGCTCCCTGTTTCTTAGAAAGGGCTTAACAAAAACCCGTAAACGACGCGTGTTACCATTTTGAATTAAAACATATTGCGTTACTTCCAGCCACCCTCTCTATATTATATACCTATTATACGTCGTTATGCCTACAACATAGCAAATTAATATAAAAATACAGATACCAGCTATAACATAACCGGCCCCTTCCGCTTACCCGTCGCTCCCAGCGGCGACGAACGAGGTGCTATGATAAGTGACGCAAGATGTCACCCCATTGAAACAGTTCAGCTGTGTCTTAAAGGGAAACTGAAGTGGTTGTCAATTTGAGAAGTAACACTTAAACCGTCTTCATACGGTGTCAAGGATTACGAATATAAAAATAGATGTCAAATTGATGTGCGAAGTAGCCAGAACACCACTTTCAAAATAGCCCTGAACCTCCTCCTTCCAGGCGCGTTCGGTGAAAGGAAGAAATCTTGACGTATTATACAGAGAAATCAACATCTCCGTGCCTTCCACACGTCTTAACCAAGCAGTCAAAAACGCTGCAAACATTCCGTTACGAGGAGCATGGTAAAGGCAGTTGAGGCCTATGGGTACGATCTCTCGCCCAGCAGTGGGTTTTCGGGCTTTCTCGCATCTGTTGATGTGTTCGGATCAATTGCTCGGGATATTCGAATTCACAGGACAAAAATATGCTAGAATTCACATATAACTCCTGTTTTTTGTTATGAACGTCTTCATCTTTTTTTAAGGTTGCCGTTTAAGTGCTGTCATTACAACCGTTTTATTCGTGCTGGCAACTTTGTTCTGCGTAGACTGCAACGGAATAAACACGCACGCGTTTTTTTTATGTATGCGGATTTTTTTACGAAACAAAAGTTGTGGTATTCGTGATCGATCTGACATTTGGCTTTTTGACCAATAGTAGGTACTAGTTGATTCTAACTCAATTTGAGCTGAAATTTCACTATTCGCAGACATCTAGAATTAACTTTTAGACTCTGAAGGAAATCCACCGGTTCGGAGAGTATTAGTTCTAACTGAAATACTGTATCCGACAACGCTTACTTCTTAACAGTTCTAGGAGCTCATCGGCTCTTTGGTCAAGACTGACGGAATTACCCTAAGAATGTACACTGAACTGTCCCACACCGAAAAGTCCGCGCACCGAAAAGCCCGTGCACCAAACAGGCTGCACCAAAACGCCCTATACACCGAAACGTCCTACACCAAAATGTCCGGATCCTGGCTGCGGCTTGTTCTGCTTATATACTACGTGACGGCCGAAACGTTGCCCAGATCTGTTTCGTTAACCCAATATTTGCTGTCGCCCTGTCGCCAAAAATTTGTATTTTCGCTAAAGTACGTCTATCTTTTAATTAAACAAAAAGTTGACCTGCTAGTGTTCGTACTGGCACTGGCGCCATCTATGGAGTAGCCTGGAACACTTGCAATTTTCATATCTTGGGTTGGGAAAACAGCTACGTAGACTGTCCTTGGCTGGTTATGGCAGTGATTTTTTATCTTCTATTGTACTTCGGTTGCTAAAGCCCAATGATGTAGAAGAGGTGACGAATTGATAAGAACAAAGGTTGTCTCTCTTCCGTATTTCCATGACGCGTCTCAAACCTGAATGTCTTGCAAGGGAAGTTTGGTATTACTGTAATTTTTAAACCCGATTTTCGTCTGAACATATTAACTCTTTCTTGGCGAAAAGAAGAGAGTGGCTGTAGTAAGGATCATATGGAACCTTCAGTGAGTCGTGATCTTGGTGTAGTTTACAAAATTCCTGTAAAGTATGGTTCTTGCTATGTTGGCCAATCTGCTAGGTTCATTAACGACCGACTGTGTGAACACATCAGAGCTGTTAAACATCGCAAAGAGGCTTCCGAGTTGGCCAAACACATGTCCCACTGCGTTGAATGTAGTGTTGTGTGGCAAGACACTGAGATTCTGTGTAAGCAAAGAGACGCCTATAAACGTCTTGTAAAGGAGTCGTCGATGATTTACTGGAATAGTGATTGTTTCAGCATTACGTCCGTTGCATGTACCAACCCAGTCAATACGTTTCTTAGCACTTAGATTGTTTTAGGTTCTTTGGACTAAGTGTTCTCAGGTCGGCCGCCGGCCGGGCGGAAGGGGTGCGGTTGAAGTGCTTATCTTGTTGGTTTCTTAGTGTCGGTTGCTTGCCTTTATCGAGCGGTTTGAGTCTTCCAGGGATTTTTTGTGTCCCTACAAACTAGTGTCCTCTTGTCGGTCGCCGGGGTATTTTGTGCTTTTGTTATTATCCGTCACGGTCGTGTGACCTCAGGCAGCGTGTGCCTCCTAAAGCGCGATCCAAACCAACGCGTTTTTGTCCGCGCGTAGGTCGTGTGCTGCGTGGAAATTGCGTATTTCGTGACGTATTTGCTGTTTCCAAAGCGCTTTCCGAGTCACAAGCATGCGCGTTGGTCAGGACAGTGCGCTTTCGGGCGAGCGGAGAGCGCGTGATCCACATGGCCAAAAAACGCGGAGCCGGAACTGGTGCCCTCCACCGATTGGCCCGGAGAGGATATGAGGCAGGAGCGCCCTAGTACGTTACAACGCGTTTTCGTGCGCGTTCAGAAAAAGTTGAAATCCTCCAAATTTCTTATGCGCTCTAGAAAGGCGCAAGGAATCAGCGCGGCGTCACGAAATACGCATTTTCCGGGAAGCGCATGACCTACGCGCGTGCAAAAACGCCTTGGTTTGGATCGCGCTTAAGTGTTTGTGGGCCTATTTAAGTATGTGGTCTGGAAAATAAATATTTAGCTGCCTTCGGAGTTTCGTGTCTGACCATCCTGTTTGCCCCCTCGCTCCAGGTCTATTCTTAACGCGCTCGTCTGCCTACTTGTTTTAAGTTGACACTATTTATTTATATTGCACTAAAGCTTTCGATCATAAGTTGTCAGTTGCCAAATTGTCAGCATTGGGCATGACTATCTTCTTTTGCAGCTGGTTGTCAAGTTATCTTGGTGGAAGGCCAAAAGAGTGCGTTATAATGAATATTTTTCTACCTCGTACGTTTTAAATAGTGGAGTGCCTCGGGCGTCTTATCTTGGGTCGCTCTTATTCAACATTTTTGTGCTGCAAGTTGCAGATGATGTAAGCATTTATCGCGAAGTTCATGCAACTACTGACTGCCAGATGACGCAAGACGATGTTCAGGCAGTTTAAAATTGGTGCTTGAAAATTACTTTGGTACTTGAAGCCAATAAGACCAATGTTGTTTCCCATACCCGCAAGAAAAGCTGAATTGAATACCTGTATAATATGTTAGGTTCAGCTATCGTGAGGTCGGCTACTATTCATGACCTGGCAGTGCTGTTCATTACCGGCTTTCGTTTACTGAGCACGTTTCGAAGATTGTGAATGACCCTTATCAGGTGCTAGGCGTTATTTCCCGAATGACGGCAATTGCTGTACTCAAGCTAACATAATTCTATTTCGCTCCCTAGTTTAGTTCAAACTAGAGTTTTGCTCAGTCGCATGGAACACCACTGGAATGACAGTATAATGTATTTTAGAAAAGCGTGCCGGCGTCGACTCGTACGTACTCTTTATGACAGACGGGTTTGCAGGTGCATTTGCTTTCATTATGAACACCTACTTAATTTGCTTTATCTTGTTCTCTTGTACGAAAGAAGATTAACGCGAAACTGTATTTTGTACAAGATAGTGAGCGCTGGGCTGCATGCACTCTTGCTTTTAAGTGCGATTACTTTTGTGTCCCTCAGAAGTGTATACGATTTTTATTGATTTTTACCCACCGAAAGTTGGTGTCCTGTCCCCTACGACACGTCTATAGCATTCTTTATATTATTAGTGAGAGTGATTTAGACTTTAATCAAAATAAATTAATAATAAGACTTCCACGCGTTACTCTTTTCTTATTGGCTCGAATATTATTTTACAGGGTTAAGAGCCATTTCTCACAAAGTTTGTGATCATTGTGTATTGTTTCGAACACAAAGTGAAACACGGAAGTGATGATAATTAGGCAAAATTGAGACACAGTGTGCCCTAATCACGAACGTAGACGGGCAGCAAGATGCTGTTTATGACAAAGACACTTTTGAAATTTTTGACCAGGAAATTGAATGTTTTAGGCAAGCTAGAAGGACATCATTGTATGCATCATTTTAAATTAAGAGATATATTTAATGTTGATATTCGAGCCCGATTTATACGCATCGCGCGTGTCTATTTTTATTCTTTTCTTATTTTTATGTGTCTCGCATTGTCGCTGTACTTGGTCATTTACGTTGTTGCGCACACAATAACTTTGAATATAGTGAAATCGTTGACTGTATATTCTAAACAAACTGAACAACTTAATACCTTATAGACTTTATATCGACGTTATGCGGAGGGCAAGTTCGTCTGCTTCTTGCGCAGGGGGTAGCGGTGACGTCAGAACGCCGAGCCCTGATTGGCTGATCGCGGCCCCCCTATCTGAGCGTCGTCTGCTCCTTTGCAACGTCGTCTGCTCGCAACGTCGTCTGCGTCTGTCTTACCTTTCCTGCGACTTTCGGAAGTGCAGGCGACGATCTTACGCCAAAAATGTGCGTAAGACATAACTTAAGAACAAATCCGTATTCACGAAACGAAATTTTCGTAAGTTTCGCGTAGGTTACGACGAAATCCTACGACAGCTCCGAAGCTGTCTTACGCACTTCTTACGATCAAATCAGCATGGCCGACTGCGTCGTGGTCGCGACGACCCACGGACGTTTATTTTTCTACGTGCGCTTCTCACGCGTCCCGACTTCAAGCAGCAAGAAAAAAGTAAAAAGTACTTAAAACAGACCACGACGAACAAGAACGCTGGATCCACAAACACCCGGGAAAAGCTCCAACAGCCACGATTCCACCGAACGCGACCAAGCGAGCACGGCAGTTAGGCCTAGCAGGCACTCCGCGACTCGGCGACCGTCTGCCCACGACCGGCTGGTGTGCTGAATGGAATATGCCCGCGCGACCATTGTAAACACTTCCCGTACTATACTTTGATCGCTGACCTCAGTTTTAGATTAAGAGGTCAATTTCTTTCTCTTGTTATCTCCTTGTTTCCCGAGGCAACGGTGACTCTCGCCGGTGAAAAAGCGGTGAATCTCCCACAGACGCGGGAAAGGTAAAGCAGCCATCGCTTTGACTAGCAGACGTAAAACAGACGACGTTAACCTCGCCAACCCGCCGACGCCGTTAAAGGATGAGGGGTCTCGCCGCACACGAAAGGAGCGAAAAAGTATTTGGGAGGGAACTTGCGGACACTAACACGCTCACTCTCGGTTCTTAGCAAACAAACCTCGACGCTTCGGGACACCTCGCCAGTGAGTCCTTTGACTTCCCTCCTTGATGGGCGTCTGCTAGTTGTTAGACAAAAACAACGTACCGCTCGGGTTATTTCGTCTGCCCTCTCGGAAAGGCTAGGAAAGGTAAGACAGACGCAGACGACGTTGCGAGCAGACGACGTTGTAAAGGAGCAGACGACGCTGAGATAGGGAGTCGCGATCAGCCAATCAGGGCTCGGCGTTCTGACGTCACCGCTACTTCCTTTCTCATGCGCAGAAGACGAAAATGAGCCCACTTGCGAGGCGTATAACGCTTTTCAAGACTGTCAACATGCACGAGCTTACCTTCAGTTTTTCTTGTTATTCTTATTATTGAACAGCTGTCATAATCAGAGTAGAGAAGCTTGTGTTCTTGTAGTCCATCATCTGAAAAAGTATAAAATTTACGTTTGAATTATGTTCTATTATTTTCGATAAAATTGTACAACAGTCTGGTTGTAAGTATAGCCGTTTTGCTGGAAATACGCGGAACCTAGTGTTAAAGAAAGTCTTCAAATCTCATATGACGAGATATTTGTACATTTCTATATTTTATTATTTTTGTTGCTTAAGTTCTTGTGTATCCCTAATTAGTACTTTATGCTCAGAAACATTTGTTCTGCGCGCTTCTGAAGCTTACCTCCCCTTCTCAAGGTATTACCTCCCCTCGCTTCATTATTCTAGTTCTCGATTAAAGGGAATGGCTTAGCGAATATGCTTCAAAAGAAATGATTTCCATGACGTGATGCTTATTACCGATTCGCTGGATTACGATATAAAATAAAGGTTATATCATGGCATTGAAGCGTAAATTTTTTAGTTATTTTAAATGCTTGAATACTTATTAGAGAAAAAAACATGCCGCGCGAACATTTATGGAGGTATCTTGTGTTTTATTCCGCGAAATGCAATCACGGTTGAACGAAACGATCATTTTAACCACACGATGTATCTTCATTAACTCAAACAAGCCGCCTCTTGAGTTTCCTTGTGTTTTAAAGCACCCAATGCCTTTCAAAGTGTCGCGTTATAAATACAAATAAAAACCAACATAACAAAGTCCCGACCTCTTCGAAGGAGCTATAAATATTTACTAAAGTCGCGTTGTACAGAAAATATGATTAAATTTATATGTTTTCCCAAACACGGCACTCGCCAAACTTATATTTTGGAAGAATATCAAAAATTGATTCTTCAGTTGTGTGCCTATTAAAGCACTAATAAGGCATGTGCCTTTTAAGTTACATATTACATGCAGACTGTCCAACCGGTTATTATTCCGGTTCGATTCGGGTTCGCATTCAGTAGCTTTACACTTTGTCGCGGTTCGGCTCCAGTTCAGTGACGCATTCGAAATATCGGTTCGGCGACCTCTTCACCAAGCGAGAACCGCTTCAAACCCGTTTCTTACTGTATATTAAAGCGTTACCACCTGTGCATTTCCCGAATTAAGCAACGTTGGACAACGATTGAAACGAGTGCTGCGTCAGTGCTCGGCTTCGAGTCAAGCTTGAGCCGAACGTTGACATAATCGTCATGTTTAATCTCTGCCCGGCGTTGGCCTTTCTCTGATGACGACTTCTCATTCAGCACTACGGCTTTGTGGACGTGCTCAATTGCCGCTCTGCCGTCGCCGCTTGTTCTTCGTCTGGGTTTCTGTAGTAGAGGTGCGTGCGCTCTGATGTGCGTGCGCAGTTAAAGCAATGGATGCGGTTCACTCAACAAGTGATATGAGTGCGGTTCCTTCTACGAGTGGTGTGGATTTCCACGAGTGATATGAACGACTTTATCCAAGGGCGTCGACGTACCCTTTTGGGAAACCCTAACGCTGATCCCGTAACGGGGCCAAAACGATGGAGCCAAAAATAGAAGAAGCAAAAGAGAAACCCAAAAGAGAAAAGTGAAGGAGTCAGGTTAGCGCTTTTTAAAGGGTGACGTGTGTGGCGTTTCCAAGGGTCATGCTTGCGCATTCCCTAAGAATCCACCAATAGATCTTTCTGTAATTTTTGTTTTGATTTTTATATATGTCCGTTTTTTTTTTTTTATTTAGGTAGCACTGCTTTTACACCTTTGAACGTATGATACACCGCAGAGGATACAAGTCATTGAAGCCAATGCTGTGTTGTGGGAGCGTCGTGTGACCTTCGGAACAGACGCAGCGACACTGCGAGTGAGATACAATCAGAGCGCTGGATTGGCTGGGGTATACATAACGCGTCAGCTGCCCTCTATGGCAAAGTGAAACGGAGTATGGCAGCCAAACACAGGAACTCGAGCACGTACGCACGCTCACACGCACTCAGGTTAACCTCTTCGCATAGTCACGCAGAAGTATTCCACCCCGACAAGCAGACACCAAGTCATACTGGACATAGACGTGAAATATTTTTGTTTAATGGAATATTATTGAACTGTGTATATGCCGTTACCGTTTGTTTAGTCAATACTGCGCTGCTATCGCTATCATCGCGAATATTTAATTGACTTCGCAGGCCAAATATTGTAACACACATTATCGTGTAAAAAGGGTGCAAAAATGGTGTAAGTTAGAACAAAATACCCCTTTATCAATATTTTTACACGCTCTCTGAATATCGGTGGGTGTAGAAGGGTGTGTGATGTTTTACACCTCTTACCCGCCTTTTTTACGCCCCTGCTCGTAGCGACGGTGTCTGAAAGCGTGTAAAAAGGGTGTACGGACGAATTTGACGCCCTTCATTCACGCGGTGTGAAAGAGGCATAATGGTGATGGAGTCGAATACACCCGTGATTTCATGGACGTTCATGTTTATTGCTTTGGTGAAACTGTTGTTGGTGTACGGCGGTACAAACGTAAAATATAATTAATCGCCACACGAGGTCGCGTAAGATTACAAAGTACTACAGAATAGTTTTTGCAACTCCGATCTAACTCTGCCTCCGACACGAGCCGAAAATTACATGTCGCGCGTACACCAGATTTATCAGTCCAACTTCAATAAAAAAAAAACTTGTTTCGGCTGGCAAAAGATGAACGAAGACGTGGAAATATACAGGCCAGGCAGCATGCAGTATTGCGCCGATATTGGCCTCAGATCGGAAATATTGTGCCGATGCCATTTTGGTCCTACTAATATCTGTGAAGAATGAGACGGGTCGCGCAGACGCCTTCCTGACTTGCCGTACGCGCGGCCGTTTTTGGTTGAGTATCAAGAGTGTCTTTTGTGAATCGGCTTTGCCATCAAGATATTTCTATTTCCTGACCGCCTCAAATCCGATGTTAAAAAAAAAAAAAAATAAGCAAAGCAGAATTTGTTTACTTTTAGCCCGAGGAAGACCTCTTGCGCTGAAGCCTTGAACAAACTGTGGCGTCCTCATTTCGGGTAGTACAAACTCACCTGACTGGACCTGGCGCTACTTATGGCACCTTCGCTGAGATTTTCTTTTTGTGTAGTTCAGAATAAATTATGACGCAACACAATCGAAAGTGCCAGATTCATAACACCCTCCCAAAGTATACGTGATTCTTACCTCTGCTTGTTGACACCAAAACATCTAACGTCCCGACGCTTTTTGTTTTCAGTTTTTCTTTGAAACGCGTGAAACCGCGTCGTTTGTCTCATGCTCTAAGCGTCTTAGCTTTGACCCGTGCTTCGACGGCGTTCAAACATTTTTTTTTACAGCGGAGCTGTTAAGGGATAGGTTCGCCAGGATCGTGTCCGTGTATGTCGACACAAACGTACCTGGACAGCCACCGCCATCTATAAGCGACGGCGGCAAGCACACAACCCGTTTGGTTTCCGCCGTCGCTCGTAGATGGCGCAACCTTTCCAGCTATAATAGAAGAATGGATAGTTGGGCGCGTTAGTGGGGAATTCATCGTATAGGAAACAGGGCAAAAAACAGACGACGACGAAGAAGAAGCACACAGTGTATAGAGTACAACTCCACTGGTCTTCCTTCTTCACGAGAGTGGAAAGGCTGAACAATTTTTTGTATGTACTTTGTGATCTCGCGGTCCGCACTAGAGCATGCACGCTTCTACCTGAGTAGCAGTTTGAGGCGCTCAAGTTTGCACTACCATAGCTATACTAACAAAGCGTGGCAGGTCGCCACAAGAAGCGGCCGCCGAAATGGAAAAGGTGGTGCAGGACGCAACGGATGAGAGGAGAGCCGCATGACTGGCGCCCGCTGCGGCGAGACGCCGAAACACAGTATACTTTTTTTTTCCTGTTGGCGAAGTGTGTTTCGGGTCCTCGCCACTGCAAAAGCTGTGCGCTGACGTCCAGATTCCCGAGAACTGGCTCTTTGATGCTCTGTGCCACCAGATCATCGCGCTTCAAATCTGCAACCGGGGACTCAATGGCTCCGTCGTCGAACTGCCAGGCTTTGTGAGTATATATAGAGGGCGCTATGGCACCAAATTGTTTATTGAAGACCACTCCTCAATACATTTGCTTTTTTCCTACAGAAAGCTGAAACCGAAAACACTTGCCGGCACCGCAGATACCCAAAAATATTAACGAGCACGTCCAAAGACAATAATAGAGCGAATCTTGACGAGTCCCCTTTCGCGGCGCGGCAGCGCAGGAGGCCTATACAAAGCAGCAGAGGGAAATTAGCTCCAATGTCCAACCCCCTTTAACCTCATCTTCTGATAAGCCTCCCTACCTTATCTTGTGTCCTCGTGCGGTTGTGAGCGAGTGCGAAGGCCTGTTCTAGGGAATCAGAGAGGTGGAGCGAAACACGTGACCGCTCTGCGTTGGAAAAAAACGATTGGACAAAATTTGTCACGTGGTTTGCTCTGAAGCGCTGATGGGCTCACTGGGGTCATAGTCTTTGCCCCTTGCCAAGTTATGGTGATGTGTAGGGGGCCACACAGGTACGGTTTCCGAAAAGCGTTCCTCAGTTTTTTCCTGCTTCTCGTGTGTTGCAGTTTCGGCCGTTGTGCTTCGTCGCGAACGGGCGGATACACCCATGCCAACATTTCAGTAATGGTCGTTTTCTTCGTCGGAGTCGATGGAATTATTGTGCTGTGTATGTTGAACACGTTTCGACAAAGTACTGCTTATGGGCGACCACCTCCATTCTTAACATTGTCTTTAAGCTATTCTGTTCTTTCCGAATCGGATTAGGCATCTATCACGGATTACATGAGATCGCTGTTTTATTCGTAAGTACTCTGCAAGCATGCTTCTGATAGTAGTCCTGCTTCCGTCTCAATTGACCATTTTACTCTTCAGAAGCATGAACTCCCGCTTGCGTCACGTGCGACTCAAGGTCGTTCCGTCTTTGCAAGCCTGTCGAGTTTGCTTACGTCACCAGTACTTGAAAGCATAAATGCTGCACGGAAAGCAAAGGCGAAGATTTAACTAGGGCCCTCGGTTTTACAATTTAAACTGGTCATT